ATAGAAACATAATATATATCATAAAGTACAGTATCTATTATATACATTATATCTATATATGTAAAATATATATAATGTAATTGATTACAGAAAGGTGACCAGCCAAGGGACTGGTCTGAAAGGCCTCTGTGCCCTTCATTAACACCACCATCTCAACTGTACTTTGCGTATTTTCCCCCTTGTTCTCAAAACCATCACAAACCTGCAGTAATCCCATTGTTTGAATTATTTCCCCCCAGTAACTCGGGGAAGTTTCCTTTGCTGACTGGCTAAGGAAGTCTTAATGTAGCTTTCTCCCCGCAGAGTACTGTAGATCCAGGATGGGATGCACCCAAGAGAACAGTGGTAATTTGTTTCTGAAAAGGTCAAAATTCCCCTCAGCACAGCCTACCTGACGACACTCAGCTTTTCAAAGAGCTTTTATGGACTTACAAGTCCCTTATTTTACAAAATCACTCAGAGCAGAAAGAACAGACACAAGCTGGAACACAGGAGGTTCCACTTCAATTGGAGAAGAAACTTCTTCTCAGTGAGGGTGACAGAGCCCTGGCCCAGGCTGCCCAGAGAGGTTGTGGAGTCTCCTTCTCTGCAGACATTCAAAACCCGCCTGGACGCCTTCCTGTGTAACCTCATCTGGGTGTTCCTGCTCCGGCAGAGGGATTGGACTGGATGAGCTTTGGAGGTCCCTTCCAATCCCTAACGTGCTGGGATTCTGTGATTCTGTGAACTGCAATGGGTCCTTTCATACCTTACCTCCTCTGTCCCCATCCCTCTGAAACTTAGAACCTTTTGACCCTCCGCCCTTTTACTGAAAAACTTCACAAACTGACTTCACAAACACTTCATCTTTGATCAGAAATCAGTTTTCAGGGTTTATAACTAAACCAGACTTGTTCCTGTGTGCTTTTTCTCTTTAGGAAATACCTGACTCCAACTCTGAATCCTTCTGCGCTCTGTTTTCCGTTGCCTCTGTAACTTTCTCTGGCTCGGAGCTCTGCACAGTCTCGTTTTCCCACTGCGCTACCACAGCTCAACAATCTCCTGTCAAAACCCGGTTGTGCTTTTTGTACTTAACTGTATCAGAGATTTCTGAAGACCCAAACCCACAGCATCCACAGCTTTTACACACTATTCTGCTGGGAAGGGAGGAACACTGCGTGGTGCAGCAGCGTAACAGTGATCTGATGGGGATACTGATGTATCAGATACCTTGGAAGTTTTCATTAGGGTAGTGGGACATGAAGCCATAAAACCAAGGACTTCAAAAATCAACCTGTTCCTGTACAACTACTCTATGTCCATTTTGCTGGTGCTAAACGCACCCTCAGTAGACAAAGCACACACACACCATTAACAGAAATTCAACTGACAAAAAACAAGTTGACCACTGTCCTGGTTTGAGCTAAACAACTGATTTTCTATTTAGTGATTTGACTTTTCAGCTCGGTCTCTTTTAAGTGACTGAACTTGCTGAAAACTGGCAGCATGTTTTTCCCAAACAGCGCTGCTAGAAGATAAGCTCAAGGTCAGTTGTCTCACCATGGGTGCTGTGTCTGCGCCTACAGGGGGAGAAGCAGACCCAAAACTGACCAACGAGGTATTCCATCCCACATACGTCATACGTGGTATAAAACCGAGAGATCACGAGGGTCTCGTGCTCTTTTTTTGCCCTTGCCACCGTTCCTTCCATCTCGACCCTTCTGTCTGTCTGGATCCTGCAGAGGCTGAGGCCTGAGCAGAATCCTGCTGCTGATCCTGATTTGTGTCTCCTGCATCAGCTCCCACCTGCTGCTGGGTTTGGTCTGGGACTTTTCCAGTGCCCGGCTCTGCAGAGCCTCCAGTGACGTATTCGTCACTCCCTGGGGGGAGGATTTTAGATTGGTTTTGTATATATATTTGTACTTATTTGTATATATTTCATTATTTTCCTATTTACAATATTATCTGTAGTATTAGTATTATTGTTTCATTAAATCTGTTAGTTTATTTTCCAACCCGTAAAGTCTCTCTCCCTTATTCTCTTTTCTCTTCCCTTCTGGGGAGGGGAGAGGGGTTAACAGAGAGTGTCTGTCCAGGATTTAGTGGCCGGCCCAGCCCTAAACCACGACAACCACGTGAAGTTAAACACTTCGACAGGAATTAACGGACCAAAGTGATGAGAAAACAGCTGAGCGAGAGCTGTCCCAGCATCGCCAGAGAACTCTCCCCCTGCTCCACCTTGTTCTAGGTTTGTTTTTACAACCTTGGCTGCACTGAAGTTAGCGCAGTCTCAGCTGTGATCATTACCTGCTCACTGGCCTATGCCGTGATCATCCTGAAGATGTTGGGTTTTTTAATTACAGTGGTCTCCTCAGGCTACTGCTAATTATGGGCGATGTAAATAGATTTGCAGATGCATGACTAACGAAGTCTCCACGTGCCAAAGGCTCCAGTGGAGCATCATTCTGCCAGCATCACTCCTCACTCCACACTGGATCATCTCCCCTCTCTGACTCCCAAACTTGCCAACCCTGTTGCCCATTTTGGGGCAGGGCACTCCTTAGCTCAAGGTCTACGTGGAGCAGACAATACGGCGACTTTCAGCTGCACAAGGTCAATTGAAAGGATTTTTCTGTAAGAAATAAATTCTATCCCTATAGCAAGCCTACATTTACGGTTATTAACAGCCACATTATACCAGGAGGCTGCTACTGCCAGCCACAGATGCTCAGGGAACACAAATCAAGCGCACCAAAAATGAAGGGATTGTTTGGGATTTTTGTGGTCTTCTATTACAGGTTTTCTTTTTAATTACAAAGCCTACATCTGTGTTCTTCTCTTTAACAGCCAGACTGCTAAGTCTGATGTAAAACAAAACCCCAAACAAAAAGCCAATCTCTGGATGAAGACAAAACAACCAACCCCATCAAAAACCTGTTAATAGCTGGGAGTCAGCAACGCCTCTAGCCCAGGATTAAACGAGTCTTGTTCAGACAAAGCGTATGCTCCCAGAACCATGCAACTGGTAGAGAAACAAGTGCAAAGCCTCTCGTTAGTAGTGTGTGGGGACCGTTTACACAGAGCAATGTAGAAAGCCCTGGTAGGGTGTGAAAGCAGCTCGCCTGCTGCTACTGAACCTTTACGCAGAAACAACTCCTTCCAGTTTCCTCTGTGCACAGCAGTTGTTTGTGTTTCCTCGTTTGAAGGTGATGGGTTATGCAGATGAAAAAAACCCAGTCACAACATCCCAGCTTCAGCTAGTCCTTGTGATTTGATTTCTGTTCTTTTGTACAATAGAAGCAGGGATTTGCTCTGTTTTAAAAATGAGCTACAAGAGTAGTAATTAACAGATAGTAAAATACGGGGTTAAAATAAGTGCCACTGATGGACTTAGGACTGATGTGAGAATGATTTTGAATGCTCACATTTTTGGGTTCTCCCTTTCTGCATTCAATTCTTGCTTTTAAATGACAATCTTGACTATGGTGAAAAGCATGATCTCAAACTCATCTAAAGATAGAAAATGCAAATAAGCTCACAAAACAAGCACAGAAGCACGCTCTCTGAAAACCAGTAACACAGTGCACTGCAAGATCAAAAAGCACCTGAATGGGCTACGGGCTCTCCTTCTGATGAGGTTTTGAAGAAAAAGTTTGAAAATCTACTCATGGAGCCAGTTGGAGCAAAAATTATTGTGGTCCAGCAAAAGAAATGTGGAGTAGGTGATGTCTGAAGATCTTTTCTAGCCCTAACACTCAGTCAGAGCTTGATAATGTGGTGGATTATACGGTTAAAGCATCACTGCTAAGAGTTATTCAAGCATAAAAACTGAGTGGAAACAAATGTCTCAAATAGTAAACCTACTTTCCACTTGTCTCTCACAGTCACCTAAAATGAGTACTGACAGACCCTCGAGAACAGCAGATTCAGTGTTAAAAGCAGATGTGAGAAATACCGGTGCAAGGTTTGAGATGTTCTATGCATCGGAAAATGAGGCTAAAAATGGAAGTGCTTTGTGAAGCATCCTCATCATACAACTACCATGGGTTGTAGGCACACACTTGTAACAAAAATAACTTACTTTGCTGTTTCTCCTTCCAGCAGCTGGTCTGAATATAGTCTATGTAATCTTTCTCAACAGTTCTCTCCAGCTCTTCAAGTTCTGCTCCTTGATAATTCTTTTCAAAGTTTTTATCGACATAGTAAGGCACCTGCAAGTTCTCTGTTTCTCTGCTAACAACATGGCCTATGGACCTGTGGAAACATCAAGGAGAAAACAGAGTTTTTTTAGCAGTTCAACTATAAAGAAATCGAGAGGTGTTTCTCCATATTATCATTTCCAGAAGGCAGCATTTACAACTTCTTTACAGTGACTGTCTGCAGGACTACAGCTCCCTCAGCCATCCAGTAAGGAAACTACAAGTCTCAGACACAGCAAGCTGTGCACTACGAACAGAACCCACTGACACCCCCCTCCCCAGCTCCTAAAAACCACAGGGAAAATACCTAATACTTGGAAACATTGACAAAGAACTGGGTCAGAGCTGACGCTGCTCTTTCCAAATACTGTGAGTGTTCTCAACAGCTCAGTCGAGACACTTCCAAAACAGAAGAGCAAACTTTCTCTGTGAATGGAAGCTCCATGCGCTTTCTTCTGTTTGCTGGAAATTTCTGGCAAGCTAGGGCCATAAATCCATGAGAACTGATGATAAATCCAGAGACTGTAAGTAAGGCATACATCCCAGGATGGCATGGAATATCCCAAATAACATCCTGTAGGTAGCCATGGACACAGCCGCTGGATTAAACTGTTCTCTTCTACTGAATTTTCTTATTGGAGCAAAGATACCCAGGCATTTTTTCCAAACCACTGCCCAGAGAAAGCAGCAGGCAGCCAGAACACCAAGGTTACACTCTACTCAGTGGAATCCACTTTGCCCCTTCTATCTCCTGGACTCCTCCTTTCCTTCTGTCTTGTTGTGTCTCGGAGCTGTAAGCTTTCCTTTAAGTTTTTAGGCTGTTAGGTTTTTTTAAGGATAAGATTTTAGAGAAACAGCGTAACTGTAAACCAGGTTCAGGCCTGACTTATCTCAAATCAGCAGGAGAAGGGGAGGCAGTGAAGAAAAGCAAGAGAGATTAGCTGCTCTGGGGGCAGTGTGGGAGGCTTCACATGGGACTGGCAGATAGCAAAAACACTCCCTGGGAAAAAACCCAAACCAAATCAAACCAAAAAACAATCCCCCTCTTGTTCTTATGCTAGGGCTGCACACTGACATCTTGTGGTAAAAAGCGAGAAAGGGAGTTGGGCTACTCTGACAGCCTAAACCTCGAGACACGGGGAGTTTGGAGCACTCTGCCGTTGCTGTGGGCTCTCCAAACCCTGCTCACTCCATCCCTGTCTCAGTGAGATGCAGCGAAGGTGACTGAAGTGGTCAGCTCTTCCCCACCAGAGCTTCCCTGCTCCCAGCACTGGGTGCTGAGAGGACCTCGTGGGTTTTCCTCAGCCCCACAAACTCGGGTTGCAGCAGGCCTGGTGTTCCCTCTGCTCACAGTGCTGACCAGCTCAGTTTGCCCCCTGCAGCCCCAGGCTCCTGCTCCTTTACAGATATTAAACCAGGGCATTTCAGGGTTTAATGATCTGTGGAGCTTGACAATTCCTTCAGTGGAATTCAGGCTCCAGAGCAGATCTGGATTTACGCTGTGAACCACAGGCTTCATTTCCTGACTGCTTTACATGGGAACCTCAGTGGTGGCCCACAGATCCCCGGGTCTCGCAGCGCAGAGGCTGCAGCAGAGCTACACCCACATTCCCGCTACTGCATTGCTGGGCAGAAACATTTCACACCGTTGAGAACAGGCCCTGGCACGGTGCCTCTGTTTGCTGGGCACACAGTACAACACAGCACCATTGATAACGAAGGGAACTCACCAATAGAGACTGTTGGTATTTCCTTGTTTACAAATTGATAACAGTTTCTAGAAAGAGCAGAACGTAACACCAACATGCAGTTTGCTATCAAGCCCAGCTTCTGTCTACCTCCTTAACACAAACACCAAAGACCAGAAAAATATGTTTTTAAGTGACTTACGATTTGTAGAATAGGCTGTAGGGTGGGTTAGTGGCCATCAGTTGAGTTATAACTGACACTATTATTATTATGAAAACTGGCATCAATTGAATAAATGCAGAATATGAATTCTGAAAAGAACAACAATAATTAGTGGGTAAGAAAAGATATGGACAGGAAAGGGTACCTCTGTTCACAGAAACCAGGCTATCCACCACAGATCAGCAATGTATTAAATGCAAACTGGAAAGAAAAAAAAAATAGAGCAAGTACTTTCAAATTTTGAGAGGGATGACATTTTAATTTCAAAATAACCTTTATTAATAATCTCAGAAAACTCTTTAAGGCCATTTTCTATTATATCTTTGTGACATTTCTTTCATCTACAGCTTCCTCCACAAGGCGAGAGATGCCCGTGGCACTGTACCTGCCTGTGACCAACCGACAATCAAACCTCCCTCCCACCCAAGAAGCCTCCCATCTCTGCCTAAGGCTTTCTGTGCATCTTCTCAAGTCTGCTACATGCATTCTACAAATCTCTCTCTGTTCAAACACTGGATGAAATGGCTGAAAAGTAAAGGGTTAAGAGACCTTATGCAGTGTAACATGGGATACCATGTAAGTACCTGGGGGTCTTTTTGTTTGAATGCATTTAGTAGAACAAAAGAGTGGAAAAAAATACCGAAGAGAAAACACCAATCTTTACTTCTGCTCTTCGTTTGATTTCTAAACTGGCTTCTAAAATGCCTTTTCTAATCAGCAGCAAAATACAATATGCAGCTGTTTAGATTTTGCTCTCTGCCCTGGGATAGCTGTGAGAACACCTGATGCAGTGGTAGATGGGATTCATCTGCCCTAACTTAGCTGTTCAGAGGGTGCATTAGGCTTTTTTCAGAGCCTGACTACAATGCATCTTCCCTGGAGAACGATCTCGTCACGTTAACAGACTGCCTCTCAAGGAAGGTTTTTCCAAGGCAGGTGGTGTGAACATGCGCTAGCAACAAATGACACCTTGTGTCTCATCTGGGGGCTTCAGTTGGTAGAACAGTATCCCAGATACTACCCCAGGCTGGAAAAGGCCTGTGCAGCACCTGAGCACTAATCTACAGGATTATATATACCAGGAGAACAAACCAGTACTTCCCTATCCGTTATTGGTCCACATTTGGACTAATTGTCATTGGATTACTAAACCTTTAGAACTTGCAAAAAGCAAGCACCAGCAAAACAGTGACAGAAACTCCCTTATGAGCATCCCCCTTATGAGGAGCAGCTGAGGGAGCTGGGGCTCTTTAGCTTGGAGCAGAGGAGACTGAGGGGCGACCTCATTCATGGGGATCAATTTGTAAAGGGCGAGTGTCAGGAGGAAGGAGCCAGGCTCTGCTCTGTGATGTCCAATGACAGAACAAGGGGCAATGGGAGCAAGCTGGAGCATAGGAGGTTCAACTTGAACATGAGGAAAAACTTTTTTACTGTGAGGGTGCCAGAGCATGGCCCAGGCTGCCCAGAGAGGTTGTGGAGTCTCCTTCTCTGCAGACATTCAAAACCCACCTGGACGTGTTCCTGTGTGACCTGGTCTGGTGATCCTGCTCTGGCAGGGGTTGCACTGGATGAGCTTTCAAGGTCCCTTCCAACTCCTGACATTCTGTGATTCTGTGAAACTCCAGGGCCTGTAATCCTATTGACACTATGTATTTTTCAAGCAGTGATTAATAAGACTATCCAGTTACTTCTGAAAACATGAAGTTTGGCTTGAGGATAAGCACTGTGCATTTAAACACGGGAAAATCTGTCCTGGATTCAGATGTGTGAGTGCACCCCTCACCCTGGTGAAGTATTTAAGCCCAAGAGATCCCTCCTCCTGGCTACCTGGGGCCTGTTTTCTTCCTCCACTTGCTCCTGCGTCCAGGCTCTTTCGTTTCGGTGCCTCCGTGGATAATAGTGCGCATCTCTGGCTACATTGGAGAACATGTGGATATTTCCTGTTAAAAGAAACCAAGAGAGAATTGTGGTTGTCCAAGCTTATACTACACAGCCTGAATTACAGTTGTGAGATCTCAGATTAAAGTCCCAAACACATCACAGATTTAAATGTCAAAATAGAGTCGTTCCAAGAAGTGCACCAGAGAAATTGTAAAGTCTGCCCCAAGTCCATCTTAATTTAAATCAAACTACAGAAGCGTGCTGTAATTTTCATTACTGAATCTCATATTTTAATATTATTTCTGTCACATTCACTTGCAAGGCTGTAACTTGCGCTCCATCCCCAGGCTCTAAGCAAGAGAATTAATTTGCTTCACCAGACGCAGGCCATGAATTCTGGCTTCCCATAATTACTGAATATGGTCTTTTACACTCATTTCTACTTCCTCTTCCTTCAAATCATAGTTTCACTTAATGATTTTAAAAGTAGGTTTTTTGAGTAAAAAAAGAGTACAGGTCGAGATTTCCTTTCTCGCACACCGAATGTAGTTGATTTATTTTTAAAATTTCTAAAACAAGGAAAGAACTGCATATGCTGTTTCAATTTGAAGCTTCGCCTCCGATTTTATCACTAGACGAATATCTTGATAATAGCTGTGCTCTCCTCTTTTGAAATTCAGAATGTATTAGAGAATTTCAATTTCTGGCCTTATCACGACAAATACAAACGCGAATCTATTTTTAAGCCCTGGGAAAGGCGTCACATTATTTTACTCTCTTACACTGTCCTTTCTCTGAATTTCCCACAGAATGCTCCAAGAAACCTGGGCAGAAGTGACCTCTGCTATTGTGCCAATACATCTATTTCATTGCTTGCTCAAAGATGTTCCCAAGAGTCTCGGCATGTTTGCAGTCAGAGCTCCAACAGAGTGGCAAATGGGGGGGCCTGAAGCAGGGATGTTTCTTTCTTGGAAAAGGAAGTTTGCTTCTGTCATTCAACACTGCTCACAATATTTTATCAAGCTATGAAAAAACAGGAAGCAATGCGGGAAGAGAAAATTGGCTTTTGCAGAGTGCCTGGAGAAAAGTCTTCCCAAATCCTAAGTTTCTCAAAGAATTTTTGCCAGCAGTTTCTTTCCTTCCATGTGCATTTATTTTTTATAAGTTCAACTTGTAGCTTCTACCCATTACAACTGCAACACTACAGCATAGAGAGTCTCCTTTTGGACTTAAGGCATTTAACATTTTAACTCTTAATACTGAAATTACATAGAGGAAAAATGCATGGTAAAACCAAAGCCATAGAGCAGTCCACAGAAGCCGTACAAATCAGCTTACCTTAACACCAACATTTCTTATTCAGAATTCCAGAAAAGCCTGGTGACAGCAAGGTGCCATGAAACAAAAGCCAGCACAACACTGCAGCTTAGCACAAACTTCAGCTCCTGCACACGAGTCCTACTTAACATCAGGACAGCTCAAAAAAATGTTCTCTTTGTATCAACTACCTGGACACCCTCTTACTACCAATTCTCTTGCTAAGCAGAAACTGCGTGGACCTTGTCTCTTTGGAAAACCACTGAACTGATGATCTTCCGTAATTTAAACTCCCTTTTAGATCAGGAAAATGCACATAAGTTCAGAATTACGGCATGGGCTCACTCTGCACATCTACTGATCAAACACTGAAAATAACTTGAGGCCCTGTGAGCTGCAGGATGCTACCACACCAACGGAGGTTATGGGGAGCTGTAAGTAACTACCTGTGTCTGTGGCTTTGGGCTGTAGTAATTGGTGTGCACATTGCTTTATACCACACCTTGCAGGTGAGAAAGTTTACAGGAGTGTTAAAGCAATTAGTGAGATACTGCCAGGAAGACCCTGGAGCTCACCACACAGAAACACAGAATCGCTCGGTTGGAAAAGCCCTCTGAGATCATCACGTCCAACTGCTCCTGTCTACCCCCTAAACCATATCCCTAAGTATCTCGTCTACCCGCTCTTTAAATACATCCAGGGATGGTGACTCCACCACCTCCCTGGGCAGCCTGTGCCAGCTTCTGACGACCCTCTCAGTAAAGAACTTCCTCCTTAGCTCTAACCTGAACCTCCCTTGGCACAGCTTGGTGCCGTTTCCCCTTGTTCTATCCCCCATCACCTGGGAGAAGAGACCAGCACCCACCTCTCTACAAGCTCCCTTGAGGCAGTTGTAGGTGGGGATGAGGTCTCCCCTCAGCCTTCTCTTCTCCAGGCTAAACAAGCCCAGTTCCCTCAGCCGCTCCTCATCAGGCTTGTTCTCCAGAGCCCTCCCCATCCTTGTGGCTCTTCTCTGAACACGCTCCAGAAAAAACACCTTTCAGAATTACTGTTAATCCAACCCTGCACTCCACTGATCTTGCAATATCTTATTATTTTTACTACAAATACAAAAGCCAAGGCTGGATTGAGAGGTGCATGGGGCTGCTACAGGTACAGAACTCCCGTTGTTACTGGATCCTGCGTATCCAGTAACCACCAGCCCTTCCTGGCAGGCATCACTTTCCAAGCCGAGCAATTTTAATTTCTTTACAGTATGCAAGCTGCTGTGAGCCCAGTGAGCTCCAGTGTTTTCCTAGTTATAGGGGCAGCGAGACAACAGCAGCCAAGAGATGCTGACGCTGTACTGGACAGCAGTGAGGTATCTCAAGTACAACACCATCAGCACCTCTGGCCCCTTCCCATTCGTCCCTTATTTCACCTCCCACACCACTGCTGGCTTCTGACAACAGAGGGAATAATAGCAACAACAAAAAGAAGGGTCGTCAGCTGCTGCTGGGATTAAAATGTTGCCTACCCAAATATCAAACAGCCTAGCTCCTTGCCAGATTAAAGTGTTCTTACCTCTAACTAGTACTGCCAGAAAGTTTTCAATGGTCTGTTGTCAGTTTATTGCATTTCAAAAACATCACAGACAGATACTGACCTGTAGGAAAGTGCCCACCGAAAAACACATTGAATATTTCTTCTGGGGTAATGTCTGCTTCAAATTCTGTGTAGTAGTTATAGTGCCTGGCCTGGCCAGTGCTGACATGCTCTTGGTCGCTTCCGAATTCATCGTATCGCAATCGTTTTTCAGGGTTGCTCAGAACTGCAAAAGCATTGCCTATTGCTGCAGGGTGAATGAAAAGCAGCGTTACAGGGGCAGATCATGCAGTACTTCCAGATCTCAAACTTTTAGAAGCAGAGTAGCAAAAAAGCCCAAAGAGGAAAAGAAAAGTTGGGCTTGAACAAATACTGAGAATGTAACATCAGATCAAACTAAGCACTGATACAGAGCGCACCTCCAGATTCAGTTAATACAAAGTGAATGACTGGAGAGACCAATGAGTGCAGGAGCAGCCTGCCTACCTATTTCACACTTTACATCAAACCACCCAGAAGGATTTGTTCGGTTCATCCTCCCTGACCTTTGACAGAACACAACTGTAAACAAGTTCACAGAGAAATACAACCCTAACACTGAAAAAAATAAAGAAAAGCCCTTCGAGGACTCCTTATCCCAACGGTGAATGGGTACCTGACTCTTCTCGCACTGTTTCACAGCGCTGTTGCAAGCTGCAACACTGCGGAAGGAATGCAAAAGATGTAAGAGTTTAGGTGCTAAAGCTGCTGATACAGGTTTAGATTGCAATGTTACTGAAAAGCCCAGACACAAAACACTGGAGTCAAACGTCATATGCTTGCATATATACAAAATTTTATGATGCCACGGAGCAGTTATTGGTTACACAACACCACGCTCGCCTGCACGGCCAGTATCATTTCCAAGCATCGTTTTAAACCTTTGGCAGTATCTGGGAGTGACGGTTGGGATCTGTTTCCCTTTCTTCTAATGGAAATCTGTATTTTGAAGACTAAAAGGCAAATCTTGCCGAGCAGCTGCCAGATTTTGAGGAGATGTGCATATGTCTATAAAAACCACAAGCTACACGGGCCCGCATGATGCGTTTATGTAAGGTGCAGAACTAAGCGTGAGGGATTCTGTCCTCATTTCCACCTCGCCTCACGGCTGTGGACACCGGCCCGGCCCCCTCCTCACCTTTAAACGCCTCCGTTGCCCCGGGAGCGCGGTTCTTGTCCGGGTGGAATTTCAGGGCCAGTTTGCGGTAGGCTTTCTTCAGGTCCTCCTCGCTGGCGTCCCTCTCCACCCCCAGGA